ATTGTATTTTCTTTCACTTCGCGTTCCTGTGCTTTAGACTACATGTTTTCTTCTGTCCCATTTTTAGTTCATTGATTATTTTTTTTTGCATTCCTAACAGCTACTGCAAAAAATAATTTGAGCATTTTTAGGCAAATTTAATGTATTTACAAATATTGCGACCACTAACTATATTTTTGTGAGGTCTTGTTTTCTATTTATAAAGATTTTTTGTTCCATTCTCAACATTTCTCTTTCCACCACACATTATCAGTCTATAATTTTGGAGATCACAACTTTCAAAAAACTCTTGACTACTTCCTTCTCTGTCCACCACACTCAATTAACAACATTTTGTATGGAAATTAATTTTGTTAGTAGCTGCTCTACCTCTCTATCTCTTTAGCCGCGGGGTATGTGTGCTAGCGTACAAAACAGAGTTAATAGAGACAGAAGAGCAGAGAAAGCAGCAACCCAAAATAATACTGAAAGTAAATGAATATACTGTATACAGAGAAGGTAAATGCAGCTGTCATTCTGGTTTTTTTTTTTTAAGAATTGATAAAAAATATAACTGCTAATATTTGTCAAGAAAGAGACGCTTATGTTGTTAATTAATTTATTTTTTATTGAACTGCCATCATTTTACATCCGTGTTCTTGTTTTTGCACAATAAATAATTTTCTGACCTCCAAATCACCCATAATCATCCACCATCGTCTTATTCAAGGCGGGTTTTAAAGTTTATCTTTGTCTGAGCCTTTGTTTGTTTCTTCCCTATTCAACATATAAGTGAAGCCATTTGGTATTTACTTTTCTCCTTGTGGCTTCTTTCACTTGGGAACAATAGTGTTTCACTTACCAACTTCTTAAAATTCGAATGTAAACGTCTATATTGTAAGCATTAAAATTAGGTTTACTTTGGCAAAAAAAAAAAATACTTCACATTGAAATATCAAAACTTTTTATTATTGCTCCTCACTGGAGATAATGTCAACATATTCCTGGTAGACCCCAAATTTTAATTGGATTGCCTATGCAATGACTGCATTTGCCTAATTGTTTTCAGATATTTAATAGCCTTTTTCTCTTAAAATAATCAAAAAATTTCTCACGAGTTATTCTCTTTTCCCTTATTTGAAGGATTAATACATAACTACTTTACTATAACATGAGCTAGAGCAAATATGGTTAGTATTCTTTTTTTCTAGGTAGGTTTTATTAAAAAAGTGCACATAGGTGGGCTTCCCTAGTGGCTCAGGCGGTTGAGTACAGCGTTGTGGAGCTGTCCGCAGCCTCTGCAGTGTCCATTGGATCCCAGTCGGTCTCGGAGCAACCCACTTGCTGAGCAGACCTCTCCTGTCTCCACCGCTGCTCCCCTCAGCAGTATGTTTCGTCAGTCTGCCTATTCTGTTACCTGCTCTGTCTCTGGTGAATCCTCTCACACTCCCACGCATCTGGCCTGTACCCTGGCTCTTGTATAAATAAAATAAATCTTAAAAAAAAAAAACACAAAAAAGTGCACATAGGTATTAAAAAAACATAGTTATATTAGTATGTGAGTAACATCGCATAAAAAATGTGGATGCATTAGTAGAAGATGTATTGTGTAAATAGCAAAATTTTTAGTACTATTGTATTTTGGGTTCCAGAAAAGATGGTTGTATAATAACCAGATAATGATTGTTATGTTTCGTGACACCCAAATTAACTGCCAAATAAGCGATACCAGCAAACAAAATAAATGGGCAGCAACCACACAGAATATATCATGAGATGATGCCAGCTGTGGTAAATTTTGTGTCCAATTAACAGACAACTCCCAAAGGGACACAGAAATTCTCATCTCTGATAGGTAGTAAGTTTGGTTAATCAGAACAAAATACAAATTCTCATCATTTAAAATCTTTGTTGATTTAACAACAACAACAACAAAAAATAATATAACCATATTAGCAGAATGGAAGAGAAAAAGTGTATTATGATATTGGGTAAACAAGATCACTTCTGGTCTTTAGTAGGATTGTCAAGAGATTAGACGTAAAGCAGAAAAAAAAATAATAAAAATCAATCACAACCATACTAGGCATTGGAAACAAAAGAAAAGCAGAAACAGTTTTGGCAGACAAAGGAAAGATGGAAGAGGTGATGACTGCCTAAATGGTGAGCCTCCTCCCCATTAGATAAATAGCATTCAAACCATAGGCCAAGTTTGAAGAAGAAGTGCATAGTCCACTCCTCAACACTTAGCTCATTGGCTCATACTTAATATTAATAATCATTTGGAAGTCTGTCTACAGAGGAGGGTGATAGTACTAATTCTGGAGAGATGATATTTAAAAGCACATTGCTAATATGGAAGTATGGGGCTACATGCATTCTCTGTCCTGTTGCAGAATAGCACATTCATAACAGCACAGGAAGATGTGATTTAAAACCAGAATGAATAAAGAAAGCATCAACACCAGAAAGTCCTCTGATATTTCAAATTGTTAAAAACTGTGTGGAATATTGCAAACTGAGGGAACAATGCAGATACAAAAGCTTTACACCACAAAATGACACGACGTAATGAAGCTAAAAATTAGCAATAAAAACTTACTGCCAAGAATGTAACACAAGGGCCTCCCCCGGTGGAGCAGTGATTGAGCGCTGGGCTGCGAGGTTGTCCGCAGCCTCTGCAGTGCTGGTTCGTTCCCCGGCCACTGGTGAGGGTCCCACAAAAAAAAGGGGGGGAAAGAAAAAAGAATGTAACACAATATATACAATAAAATACAGACTTTTGGCTCTATGGTGAATTGAAGTTATAAAATTATTCCTTGTCTCTAAAACAAACCAGGAGTAGTATAAGAATGTATAAACTAATATAAACAAAGAAAATAAGAAGACCAAAACACACACACACACACACACACACATACACACATGAGTGTTATCACTGAAAACTTGGAGAATGGCTAACAGAAGGGAGATAACTCCTGCTAACTTAGCAGAACAGAGGAAGCTGAAACGTTAATTATAAACAAGAAAACTGCTTTATTTATTTATTTATTTATTTATTTATGAATCTCAAGAATCCAAATAAACTCAACAATTGGTGGTCAAAAATACCCCTGGTACTTCTGTATTTATGGAGTTGGAAAGAGGATAGCTGGTAAAAAGTGTTTGTGTGTGTGTGTGTGTGTGACTTCCAGCAAAACCTCTCCACCCCCCAGAAAGGCAGTTTACACTTAACCACAGTGGTATATGATAGAGGTTTGTTATGTGCACACACACACACACACACACACACGAGTGTTATCACTGAAAACTTGGAGAATGGCTAACAGAAGGGAGATAACTCCTGCTAACTTAGCAGAACAGAGGAAGCTGAAACGTTAATTATAAACAAGAAAACTGCTTTATTTATTTATTTATTTATTTATTTATTTATGAATCTCAAGAATCCAAATAAACTCAACAATTGGTGGTCAAAAATACCCCTGGTACTTCTGTATTTGTGGAGTTGGAAAGAGGATAGCTGGTAAAAAGTGTTTGTGTGTGTGTGTGTGTGTGTGACTTCCAGCAAAACCTCTCCACCCCCCAGAAAGGCAGTTTACACTTAACCACAGTGGTATATGATAGAGGTTTGTTATGTGCAATGGGTATATCGGGGAAAATATAGAGTTTGGAATATCAAATGTAACTGAGGGAATGACACCAATGAGTCTAAATCGAAATCAGCATAATGAATGGTGAGACCAGGCACCAGCTAACTTTAGGTTTTGGGCTCTAATAGTTCAAGTTTCAAGTCTGGAACTTAGAAGATTTCATGAGAGAATAAATCAGTAGTTGATATTTGGTGGCTTTCCATGAATATACCATACCCCTGGTCAACTTACCATGAAGAAAAGAAGTCAACAAATCAACAAACCCCATCCATGAAAACAGAGCATCTAGTTTTATTTTAGTGGTCCCAAGCCACATACTTTTTTGTTGTTGTTTTTCTTTTTTTTTCTCTTTTTGTTTAAAAAAAACAGGTCAAATTTTTTAGTAGGCATTGAACATACAAAATAAGTTCTTAAAGTAATGATTGGGGGGAAATGTATTTAAAATAGAGAAAACTGACACAGAATAAAAAAGAACCTAAAAATAATTATTCTAAACTAAAAGATCAGGAAAGATATCCAAAAACTGGAGTCGTAATTTGGAATACTCAAAGAACAAGAGTAAATTTTTAGGAATTAAACCTTTGAGTATGTGACCAATATTATTACAAGTTCTGGAGCTTTAAGCAATTGCAGTTTTCTAAAGGTAGTAAAAATTAAAATAGCAAACATGGACAATATGAGCAAAAACACTGGATTCAGTCAAAGAGTAATGACTATTGTGTAAAAAGGAAAATAAATTTAAAAATAAAATTATCAAAAATATACAATAAGAAAAGTTATAAAAGAATACAGATAATATTGGATAGACAACTAAAATTATCAGCAAATATATCTTTATAAGAGTTCAGGTGACTAAAGGGAGCAAAAAAGAAGGGAGAGGAGGGTGGGAGCAGATGAGAGGTGAGTAGAGAAAAAGTTAATAAAAAAGCATCAGGATGAAAATAACATTGGACCTTTCAAAGTCTCTTTTGGTAAAATAGAGCATATTTCAAAAATCTGTAAATTATTTCTGTTAGAATATTGTAGTTAAATCATCACAGAAATGTAACATAGAATTAGAGCTTTTCAAACATTCAGGGTCTGAAAAAAATCACTCGTTTGTTTTTTTTTTTTTTGGCAGTTATGTGGTTTTATATGCCAGAGAAAATAGGGTCTAGGATGATTTCACTCAAATGAGAAATATAGAGAAACAAAACTAATGAACTGACAAAACTAAACCAAAGCAAACCCTAGATACAGAACTGCAGAATTGACAGTACTTGAGGGAGCGGGAAATAGGGGTGGGAACAATGGGATTTCTCTAAAGAGAGATATGTCAGCTTGGGAATATAGAATGTGGAATATAGAATGTGGAGATACAATGAACCAAGACAACTCTATTGACAGAATTACATGTATTAAAAGTAGTTTATTTTTCTTTCTCAAAAACTTCAGGCTGGAGAATAGGGTGGTTTAATAGATCTGTGGAAATCAGGCCCCTTGTGCATTTTTTTCACCATTTAAATGATGTCTACCACTTGGACGTTCCTTTATGTTTGAAGATAGCTGTCTGTGGTGTAGATGGAAATGGAGAAGAAAGTAGGATAAGCATTATTGGACACTTCCACCCTGAAACCTTGTAACACAGCTATAAAAGAGGTATCCTGACAACAGTATGTTTCATGTATGAAAATCTCATTCAATTGGAATATTCAAGGATGAATAGTAATTGGTCAGGGAACAAACAGTGTTTAAATGGAAGAGAGTTTCCAGTAGGGTAAATGCATGTCCAATGTATTAGAGATGCTGGGACTCTAATTAGTGAGCTATTTTTAATGGAAGCTATTAGTAGTAACTTTGTCTAGGGAATTTAAGAATATACAAATTCTATTTCAAAACTGTCTCCTCCTGAATGATATTTGAGGTTGGCAAATACACACACACCCCAGAGCAAAAAAAAATACTTGTTTTTTTTGACTCTACAGAGATACTCCATGATGCTAGGATGGGCCATGTTTGGGACTCTCCGTCTGCCACATACATCAATTTCCAAACCTGACTCACGATGAACCACCAAATACAAAAAAATATATAAAAAAGAATATTGGAGGCCTATACTCAAAGTGACAACCTGCTGATACATTTTAATCTATGGCATCAGTAGTTCTTTGAGGTAGGTATATTTGCTTGCGAAGATCTTGTCTCTAAAGAGGATATGTCACACAGGTGACCCCATCACAAATTGAATCAGTTTGTGAAATCAGGGAAGTTGAGTCCAGACCACTCATCCCTTTACACTGTTCTACTCTGTATCTTTAAAAAACATTTTTATTAGTGTTCTATTACTTGACCTTCCCAGCAACTCAGTGCAAAATGCAAAACAGGTATTCTAAGTACACTGTCATTTAGGTGAGGAAACTAAACTTCAGGAGGATTTATTCAATGTGTACACAACTAAGTGCCAAAGCAGAGGCGATTTATGTCTTATGATTCCAAGTACAATTTTCTTTCCACTCTATAACTGCTCAAGATTTGTAAAGTCACTGCTGCTTTCTGTTCCTAACTCATAGATAGGTAGCTTTAATTCAGTCGTATTTGTAGAAAAATAATGCAATACATTGTTTGGCTATCTTTGTCTATCTGTTGGAGTTAGATCATAACTCTTTCTGGTATACTTATTTTGCACATTACATGTTATTGATATAAAAGAGGTGTTCTGGAGACAGTAGTATCACTTGAGGCTTTACTAAATCATGTGAATCACTTCTCATATCTCTCAAAATACGTAGATACAGAATTCATTCACTTCATTATCAGGCTTCCCAAATTACATGCCTTTTTCTCTTTGATAAATTCAGAATTATAGGTGGAATTGATGTCCTTTATTTATGTTTGAATTAATCATCTTTATGTGGAATCTGAAACAACAATATGGAAGAATAGGATTTCAAACATGTAGACTATTATTTAAATGAAGCCATATCTATAGGTGGAGATAGTAAAGTTAAGCAGTAAAGTGAAGAGGTATGGGAGATAGATTTGGAAGCCCTCAGTATACTATACTAAATGTTGGAAGAAGTTGTTGATGTATATGCAAACAACAGTCATCTTACACTAGTCAATTTTCAAACTCAGCTTCAAAAAAATGGAAGGAACCTGTGTCATCCAATTAAGTTGTCAAGAAAGACTGTCTTAGCCAATCCTTTTAAAAAAACTTACACCAACTCAAGAAAGTCATTTTAAAGTCAGGGTAAAAACACAAAAAAAGCACACATTTAATGGTTTGTTTTCTCTTTTTTTTTTTAAGTAAAAGGGCCTTTGCATTCACTTGAGAAATATCACTGTATTGTCATAATGAATATATACTGAAGTCCAGAAGGACTGAGAGCAGAGCAAAAATATAATAAAGGTTTTAGTTCTATTTAATGGACCACAAAAAGCTTATTAGAACTCTGAGATGCTTGTCATTTCAAAATCTGTCACATCTGAAACTAAAAATAAAAAGAACAAAAAAAAGCTATGAAAAATAAAACATTTGTTAGATTAGGTGTGGGGTAGAGAAAGAGAATAACATCTAAAGGAATGTTGAATCTAAATTGGTAGCTAAAAAATTGGACCTTTATGATTCTATGAAAATTGGGTCATGATCATTAAATTCACCTTTAAGAAGTAAACAACTTCTACCCTATGGCTCTAATTCCAAAAAAAAATTAATTATGCAAACACCATCATATGTCAAATCATCTCACAAGCATTAGGGCAAAGAAAAAAAATAAAATAGCCCTTACCTCAAGATTTTCAAAGGTAAGTGGCAGAAAAATCAAACTAAAATCTCAGCTAGCTACATAGGGGTGTCATACATCTGGCAGAACTTGTTCATTAACTGTCAAAGAATGAATAAGAAGGATTTTCAGAGATGGTTTTGAATTTTCTGGTTTGTGTTTCCTGATGGATGGTGATGTCATGTACTGAGAGGATATACTAAGAAATAAATGCAATTGGAAATCCCTTATAGAGGATTTTAACAGTCAGTTGGACATACTGATAACTCAGAAACTAGCTGAAAGATAGCAATATATTTGGGAGCTACATGGGTTATAATCAAAGAGCTGTATATATAAGATCTTCCTAAAAAAAAAATTATGAAGACATGTACAAGAGTAGAAACCTGAAGATTATCACAAGGTAATTGGTGACTGAAATAAAAAAATATCCCTAAAACATAAATGGGATCCTTTGTGAGGAAAGAGGAAGAAAAGGAGATTGTGGTGGTATGTATGGAAATGAATATAATTTTTATACCAAAAGAATTTCACAACAGGGTCAATTAAATCAATGAGGCAGAAATCAGGACCAATAGTAGCAAAGTTTTTTTATATATATTATCAATTCAAATATTTAAAAATTAAGTGTTTATGTTACATGATATTGTAAACAAATACCTGCATCCAAAATGAAGAGATATTAGCATTTTTAATTCTTGATTCAGAGTTTATAAAAAGAAATTTAAAAATTATAGTGATTTTAAGTTTCCGTATGGATATATGTGGAAGTGACATTGTAATGATCCAACAGGAGCTTCAAGAGCTGGTCTCTGATTTGCCACATTCTTTCCCTCTTCCTTGACCATCAATGGCACCCTATACCTTTACTATCCTGTATGCATCCCACCAGCCACATATGGCTCTCTAAATATAAATTAATTACTATTAAATTAAATTATAATTCCATTTGTCATTCTCACTTGCCACATTTCAAGTGCTCAACTGCCAGCTATACACTACATATTGCTGGTAGGCACTGTATTTGTGAGCATAGCTATAGAATATTTCCAACATTGTGGAATGTTATATTGCATCTAATGGTGGCTTTTGATGAGCTGTATGTGTTCTTTGTCTTTAATTTTAATTATAATGTGTCTTGGTGTGGATCTATTTGGGTGTATATCATTTGGAAATCTCTGGGTTGCTTGTATCAAAATGTCTGCTTCCTCTTCTAGTTTTCAGTGATTATTCCCTTAAATTTTCTTTTCTGGCCTTTTCCCACACTTCTTCTTCTAGAGCCCCTATAACCTGAATTTGTTTCTGCAAGGCCCTAGCCACCAGGCTCCACATGGGCACCATACTGCAGCCACTACTTCTAGTAATCCAGCTACTCCAGTTCACCTCCCACAGTCTAGCTAGCTAGCTGCAGGCCGTGCCTCCCCACTGGCGACATCTTGGACTTCTTCTGGCTCCATTACTAAAAGAGCAGGCAGCCAGGACACACCAACACATTTCCAACAGGGGACCACTGATACCCCAGTTGTAGTACATGTAGATTGATGGTTTTGGTGCTGTTTCTCTTGATATTGTCCCAGACTCTCTTAAGGAATTTTCATTTTTTTTTAAATTATTTTTGCATTTTTCTGTCTGTTTGGGAAACTTTCTTTGTCTTCCAACTCACTTATTTATTCCTCTGCTTTATCCAGTCTACTGTTGGACCCCTCTTTTGCATTTTTTAGTTCTGTTATTGTATATTCCAGCTCTGTGACTTCTTGTTAGATTTTCCTTAATTATAATTATTCATCTACTCTTCTCCCAAGCTCAGTGAGCATCATTATAAGCATTACTTTGACTTTTTCCTTTGGTGCTTTTCTTATCTGTTTCTGTTTCTTTCCATTCCTTTTTTTGGAGTTTTCTTTCATTTGGGCCACAGTCTTCTGTTTCCCGATTTTACCTAGTTCTCTGTTCTTCCATATTTTAGGTTACTACGTTCTAGCAGAATGTTTAGTCTTATGTAGGTGATGTCTCCTGGCATCCTGAAGCACACTTTTCTGTTTTTCCTAGTTGATTGCTGAAGGTGTGTTCCCTCTATGGGCTGCATCTACTTGACTGCTGTGTGCAGGTAGCCCTGTGACTAAGGTTTCCAATCTTGGCAGGCAATGGCATCTTGGTTGGGTTTGGCTTGGGCCCTATACTAACGTGTGCTCAGCCGGGTCCAGCCTCAGTGTGTGGCACCCTGAAGTTGCTGTTGAACATATGCTCGTGTGTCTTGGCTGCCTGCTGTTTTAGTATTCGTAGGGCCAAGCAGAAGGACAGAGTGCCAACAGGAGTGCAAGAAGTGACCAGGGTGGCTAGTGTCTGGAGGCATGATCCTCAGCTAGCTAGCTAGACTGAAGAAGGCTAACTGGGGTAGTTGGATTACTAGAAGTGGTGGCTGCATTATGGTGCCCATGTGGAGCCTGGCGGCTAGGGCCTTGCATGTGTGCCTCTGGTGGGAAGGCAGGTCTTGCAGTCGCAGCTGGAGTTCTGAGTATGTTTGGGTATGCAGGTCTTGCACTAACATGTCTACACAAATGAACGCTACTAGAATAACTCTTATCTACTATTTGCTTCCCCATTATATTAACCTTTCCAAAATTTGCTACCCCTAGAAGACCGAACCCTGCCTGCTTTGCTCTTGTCATTTTCCCACAATTTATCACTATTAAAATGATGTCTAGCCCCCAGGTCTGATTGCAGTTTTGGGATCCCCACTTCTTTTCTATGAGGGCCTCTGTACATATGAAAATTAAAATATTTTCAAATTAAATTTGTGTACTTTTTTTCCTGTTATAAAAAGAAAATACCTTCTTTATTCAGTGAACTTTCCATCCTATGATCTTCTTATTATTGTATAAAATTGAGATTTCAACTTTTTAAGCACAGAATGCATTTCTGTAGTCATTAAGTAGATATGCCATTTCATATTGAAATTTTTGTCACATGTAGTTTCTAGTTTTTCAGTTTTTCTGCTTTCATCTTATCTATAAATATATTCTACACTAAATATTTCATCAAGGTTTTGTGGGTTATACACTTTGTTAGATTTTTTTTTTTTACTATCTGAAAATATATCTCTTGATTAATACAGTTGGCTGAATATAGAATTCACAGAAATACTTAATTTCCCTCAACACTCTGAAGATATTGCTCCATTTTCTTCTTACATCTGGAGTTGCTTATTCTGCCATTATTCTGTGATTATTCTGCAATCAGTCTAATTCCATTTCTTTCTGTTTCTTGAGGTAGTTTTAATGTGTTCTCTTTATCATTGATACGCTGATGTTTTACAGCCTATCTAAGTCTGGATTTATATGTTTGTTGGCAATTATGAGCTATCTATCTATAGAAATAGTTTTCATCAATTCAGATCAATTCTTATTATATCTTTGAATAATTTTTCTGCTATTATCTCTAGCCTCCTTTTGTGAAATACCTACCCAGCATGTATTTAAATTTTATTAATCCTCTCCTTTTTTTAAAAAAAAATTCTGTCATTTTTTTCATTATTTTCTTTCTATGCACTGCTATCTGGATCAATTCCTAGTTAGCAGCATCAAATAATGTATTTTCTCTTTGGCAAACTGAGTCTAGGTTTTCAAGACATTCTCAAGATTTCTTATTATTTATTTGCACATCTACATGTGGTGCTTTTAAACATGTACAGAAATTATTTGACACCTTCTCACAAAAGGTGGAGTGTGATTTGTGTCCCTTTAAAAACATGCCAGATTTGGTTGCTCACTGATAACAGCATTTGGAGGAATCAATGCTGCAGGGCCTTCGGAGGCTATATCATGAGGGAAACACCAGTTCAGCCTCTCATTTTTCCTTCTTTGCCTCTGTTTCTCTTTCTCTCTGAAGTTTTAGAATTCTGAACTACCATGTAAGATACATGTTTATCCTAAAGCCATCTTCTTGGAAAAGCTGTATGTAGAAGCTACATAAAGATAAAAAAAAAAAAAAAGTTCAAGAGGACTTCAGCTGCTCCAAGCATCAGATATCCAGATCTTTACAGCTCACCCATCAGCCCTGTGAATGAACAAGGCTTCACATGATCAAGGTTCCCCATTTTTAAAAATAATTTAATACACGTTGAATGAGACAAAGTGCCCCTACTCTGCCCTGTCCAAATCCCTGACTCCCCACACAACTGTAAGATTATAGTATTATTTGGTGTTTTTATGCCACAGACTTTTGGAATAATTTGTTATTCAGCCACAGAAACTAGACTGGAATTTTGTATAAATATTTGGATATTGCTCTTATATTAAAAATGTGACAGTGGCCATGTGATGGGGTGGCATAATGGTGTTGTGGAAAGGGTGAAGAAGGAGCTGCTAATGAGAACATGATTCTCCTAAGGAGACTATTAGAGGCAAGAATTAAATGGATATAAAAAAAATAGTTATGGAAGTCAGAGGAAAGTTATCCTCATTATGCAGAAAGTTATCTTTACTATGCTGCTATTTAGCAACGCCTTTATCAGTATTGCCATGGAACCAAAAAACTAAATGGTTTAGCAAAAGAAATTTCTAGACAGTGTTAAAAGTGCTGCCTAGTCTATGAAATACTATTGTTATGTTTCAGAGAAGCTAAACTAAAAGAGGAACTATCAAATACAAAGAAGTCAGGGGTTAAAGACACAGAGCTAGCAAGCGATCCCCAGCCATTGCAAGATGAGTTCGATCCCCGGCCAAGAAAATAAACCACATGGTGCAGCAGACCTCTCCTGTCTTGCCCACGGCTCCCCTCAGCAGTGTATTTCAGTAGATCTGCCTGTTCTGCTCCCCACTCTGTCTCTGGTGAATCCTCTCACACCCCTCCCTCTACACCTCTGGCCTAAACCCCAGCTCCTGTTTGCATGAATAAATAAAATAAATATTTTTATAAAAAAGCACAAAGAAGTCAGGGTCTTCCCATTTTCGGTCTCTCCAAGATTTCCTCATGAAGAAGGGACTACAGAACAAACATCAAGATTAGGTGGAACTATAAGGTCCTTTGTTAAAACCTGAGAGATATATAAAGTGATACTGGTGAAGGACGCTACAGTCAGGGAAAAAAATCTTCTTGAGGGAATTTTAAGGTGACTTATAGATCCTTCAGTTGAACATAAAATTTATGAATGTTTTGGCTCTCATTAATTGTACAGGAAGTCCAAGGTCAAGAAGGGCTTATCTCAAAGATATCTGTGTGCCTTTTTGTCTAGTGATGGGGCTTCTAAATACAATGAACCTATAGACTTTTAAAAGAAAATATTAGTTTAGACTTAAGGGACAGAGATAGTACAAAATTAAAGAGTGCTATGGATTCCAAAACTTTGGTGGCCGGTTCAGAAAACAACACAGCTGCAAAAAGTATTTTGTATTTTTTTTTAATAGAAAATGATGAATAGTTTAAAAAGCAAAACCAAGAACCTAGACTAGAAGGTTCGAGTCAAGAGCCATGTAGAAACAATCCCAGGCAGTAATACTGAACTGTAAATCGAGAAATTAGAAACACAAGCTTGGCTGAATTTCAGAAATACTTTGGACCAGTGACTTTGTATGCACACCATTCTCCCCCTTTTTAAAAAAGATTTATTTATTTATGTATACAAGAAGTGGGATGTAGGTCAGAGGTGTGGGGGGGTGAGAGGATTCTCCAGAGACAGAGTGGGGAACAGAACAGACAGACTGACTGAAATACAATGATGAGGAGAGCAGCAGGCAAGACTGGAGAGGTCTACTGGGCCGTTGGGTCAGCTCCTTGACCTGGGATTGAACTCATATTGCAGTAGCTGGCGATAGCTTGATAGCACTGTGTCCTTAGCCCCTGTGCTCTCAGGAAGGGCCCCCCATTTTTCCCCTTTTGGATCAGAATTTCCTACAGCAGTTAACATGTCTATCCTATCATTGCATGTTGAGTGTGAGCAGTGCAGATGACATGTTTCTTTAGCTCACAGGACTTTGAGCTTAGAAGAAATAGTCTTGACAAGCTATATTTGAGAGAGAGCACCAGTGATGCTGTAGTTCTGATTTAATTGAGATCTGGTATCTTGAATCTGATCCTGGTATTTCAAAAATTCAGTTTGAAAGAGCAATTTTAAGAAGAAGTAAGTATATATTTCATGTGGGAGACATGTAACTGGAGGTAAACTGTGATGTTATTTGAAAATTATTTGACACTCCTTTGACAAAGGATAGAGTCTAATCTCCCTTCCCTCAACTATGCCTTAGCTTTAGTGACTCACTTATAACAAATAAAACGTTGCAGAAGTAACACTGCGTGAAATTCAAATGCAGCTTAAGAAATGATGGTGCTCTTTCCACTCCCTCCTCTCATTTCTCTCCTTTTATTTTTACCATCTGGAACAGAATGGCTTGAACTAGGTGGCCTCTAAGGTTTCTTTCCAACTCTAATATTCTTATGTTTTAAAATTATTTACTATGGACTAGTGATTATAAGTGACCTTTAAGACAATGGCAAAAATTGAGGTGGGAATCCACGATTATAAATCTATTAAAATTGAGATAATCAGATAAATATGATTTTTTTCTTCCTCAAATAATTTTACTGGAGTGTTTAATTATTCCTTAAAAGTTATGTCATATCAAGAGCAATGAGGTATCATGTCTAAAACAGTGACATCTGGTGGCTTCAAGTAAGTGTTGCAGTTACTATACCTAAATTTAAAATACAGTAGTAGTAGGCCTAAAGTCCATGATAAAACACCACAAATATGCTTTAGTCATTTCTTTTAGAAATAGCATTTATAATTACATTATTTCTTATAGAGCATGCTACATCATTAATTTAGAAAAATGCCAACATTTGCACATTGCTTTGAGTTTCTGTAATTATAATATAAACCTCACTATTAAAAATCTAGAAAAAGAAACACCTTGATCATTATTATCTTTGCCAGGCTATCAGAAAAGATTAATTAGTATATTACATAATATTATTATTACTTTTTATTATCATTTCCTAAAGGTAGAATTTTGATTTGAAAGGAAAAAATGCTATTTATCTCAAAGAGTCTTGTCATCTATTCCCTGAGTTTATGAGAAATAAGGTATAAGTAACAGCAAATACAAAGCTATTTCTCCCTGTTAGGCTTTTTTAAAGTCTATGTTTCCATTAAGACATTTATTTTTGGAACTATTTTCCTTTTCTTGCATGTACAAAAGCAAATAACTGAAACAGAATTATGATCTTGTCTGAATGACTATAACTTCTCTCATCTCTACCATTTCAGCTCTCCACTAGATTGAAAATTATAACTGGAAAATAATTTAAGGGCATAAAGCATCTTCGATTTCTCTGAAGTACTCCTTGCAACTTGTACAGTGCCAGCAATGCTAAGAACAAAGTTATGTGTTCAATAAATTCTCACTGAAACAAGATTTATCCTGAATCTTCCTTATTTACCATTGCAGTCATTTCCCTCTCCACTTCAAAAGTATCCCCCAGTTAATATAATCTTTCTCTCTCTAAGGCTAAATTTTCTGCCTACTCTCTTGACCCTACCTCTTATTACCTCTTCAGGGAAATTGCTTCATCAATTACACATTCTTTGCCAGACTTTTCAGTCATTTGTTTTTACTTCTTTCTTTCTCCTTTAAAAAATATGTTTCTTCAAAATTTGAAAATAATTCAAACCAGCCAACTGTGCAATCAGCAAGCAACAAGAGTTGACTCTTTACCATTTAGTCCTCTATTTTCTTTCATGACCTATATTCTAAAGTAAGTTAACTTTGTGCTTCTTCTTTTGTGCTTCTTTGTGCTTCTTCTTCTTAACTTTGTGCTTCATAGATAATTCAACAGTCAGCCTCCAGGACTTTATCAAAACTTTTTATTTGAATTCTCTTTTCTCTGAGGACTGTTTTTGGTCCTCTCCACAACCAGAAGTACCTCATATCTAACACAGGTTGTTGCCATATGTCTTGAGAATTCTGGGGCTGATCATTTATTTTAACAAAATCCCCATCTGATCAGTTTGACAATTAATGATGAAGAGAAGAGGACCTCTACCTGCTGAGTTTCCTCTTTGATAAAGTGGAGATAAAAGAGTGTTACCTCATAGTAGTGTTGTGATATTAAGGGAACTCCTACAAGTAAAGCACTTCAGTGGTGCCTTGTATGTAGCAAATGTTTAATAAACATTTTACATTTCATTTTGTAATTATATTGTCAACTTGGTATTTGTTACCTCAGTGACTCCCAAAGTACCAGCACCCTCCCTCCTTGTTTGAATTTTTGCCTACTTATTGCCCATTTCTGGATACCCATTCTAATTTGTGTTTAACAAGCCGCCTCTTGGTAATTTCTGCATTTTACTCCTTTTGTCTTTCCATATTGACCTAGTGACACTGAAGTCATCCATCAACAGTGCCTGCTATGTGCACAGATTACTCTCTTCTAGTCCCTCAATGAAGGGATTTGCCCATCGGCCCTTGTTTTGCTCTTTCCCTGACTGCTGTGACTTTCTTTTTGTATCACTCTCCCAATGTGCTGCTCACATCGCTCTAGCACCTGTAAGAGTAACATGCCCTTTCACAAATCTTATGTAATGTAATTTCTGCAGCTGTGTGCTGGAGTGATCTTTAACATCCCCACAAGGGGGACTTAGTTTTCCATGTATAGCACAATAATTAATACCATTCTTGCTTTTCCTTTATTAAAAGAAATTCAAAGTCCCTCTGTAATTTTTCCAAAAAATTTAGGGAGAATCTCAGTGCATCCTGCTCTGAGACATTTTAAGATGATGTTCCCTGCTCTTTCGTCTTTATTCATGAAGCTGCTGTCTTGTCTTCAGACGTTGATCTCTGAGCTTGAGTACAGTTCACCCTTTATTTGGCCACCAAGCCCTGTTATGCATGGCTCTTACAGAAAACCAGCCTTAACTCAGTTTTCAGAATGCTTGAGGAGGAAGCACAGTGCAGAAGATGATATGATTCTGCCCTGTCCTATGATAACAATTATTCTTAGTTTCTTGGCTCTCGGGATCACAATAAATTTCACCCTTGCCCTGCTTCACATTGGGCCCCTGCCTGCCAATATTTTGCTCGGATGAGCTTCCATCATATTTCTTTTCCTCAAATGTAGATGTACCCTTCCAAGAACATCTAATCTCAGTTCGCAGAAGCTAATAAAAAAAGTTTCTGTTACTTTATTAAAGTTAGTTTCAGGTTTCATAAATCTCTTCCACACAGATCAACTTCCAAATACCTTTTTTTTTTTAAAAAAAAAGCATGATTTTAAGTCCTCTAAGTGGAAGAGTCAAAAACTGCATGAAATGAACTCTTCTGTAATACTTCATATCTATATTGCAGAGAGGAATGCATTAATTTATGTTTAAGATAATATTGTCATCCTTTCTGTATTATATGGACTTATTTCAGATATTGCTATAGTTTCACATCTTCCCTGTAATTTTAACTGGTATCATTTTTACTCCAGTTCACTTATAACTTATAAGAAGATGTCATTTTTTATTATTTCAGACTTAACACTTAACATGGGTAAAGATATTTCTATTTTATTTCAGATAAAATAGACTGACTTCCTCTCTATCTTGCAGACTTGTAAACAAAACCTGCTTTTCATTTCTAGCTACCATGGAATTCCTTCATGCAGAGAGTTATTCACACATAATCCTTATTTACACAAAATTGGACTGACTTGGTTTTTCACTTCTAAGAACCATTTGTGCACTTGATGAACTTTAAAAGTCTGGTGCCCATCAGATTTAATGTGGAATGGTGGTGCGTTCATTTCTTGTTAGAGAGGTATGTGTAGTAAATTTTTTGTAGTGCACATTCTTTAAATTTTTCTTATATTTTCTCATTGTGTCCAGAATATGTATTTTTGTGTATGTGTTCATATATCCACCTACTTTGGGTACATAAAAGTGCATACATTATTTTTGCAAGTCTAATTTGGGAAACAATTATAGAAGGACTGACATTGTGAAGGAAATTTTCTAAAGTTGGCAACACCTAGCTTGACCTGCAGACCAAATTCTTGGTGTATATTGAATCAAGCTTATCTGAGTACTTCTTTTCAGCTGATTGAAACTGAAAGTGGACTCTTTCATGAATACCTAATAAATTCAACCAAATATTTATAAAGATGATTATAATGTACCATAGATTGAAACAGACATAACATACTTATAACAATATATATTTACAATACAGCAATGCGCAACTTTGTACCTATCTAATTGCCACAGTGCCCACACAAGGTAAAGGAAATTCTGGTCTGAATCTTCTTATTTAATTATCTTAGATGTGGATGATCTATTGACGTTGGAAAGTTCACATTAATCTATGTTAGATGCTAAACCTTCTGCATCTAAACTGATATATTAATTGCAGTCTGTCATTCTGCATTTGCTCAAGATTCAAATATGAGATGAAAGGTTGTCATTAGTTTTATATCTCCAGTTTCAAATATTTTTATTATCTCCTTACAGATTTATGCACTTTGAAATATGGAGAACATGTATTATTTGTAAGAGTGCTCTGGGGGGAAAAAAGCTTACTGCCAAATTTCCAACCAGAGAGAGAGATTAATACTTGGAGTGTTGTAAGGTGATAGAAATCAAACTGATAATAGAGACTAGATTGAGGTCTGTATAATAAAGTTCTCTATAGTTCTGTCACTTCCTTTTTATAACTAAAGACCACCAACTATGACAGTTTGTGATTTTGCTATTTAAATATCTGGCAGTCTCTTAGGTATAAAAGATATTAATGGTTTTAAAAGAAAATGCAAATTTAACCTGACCAATAGAAAAATATAAGATGATGTGAATGTTCATAAGGGTGAGAAAGTGATTTTAGTTTGAGAGATGAGTTCATAAAATGACATTTAATGTAAATCTTGAGGACAGATGTAAACCTGTCTTAAATATGTAGGGTGGTCTTATTCTCTCCAAGATCCTTTTAATATCACTCTTAGGAAAAACTTCTCCAGTCACCTTTTGTGTTTAAATTCAATCTGTTTGGTCTATAAATTCCTGTGAAAATATATAGGTCTAGATTTTTTACAATAAATGCACATACTTAATATAAGCTACCTCTAATTCTAGGTTAAATTATTTTAGGTTTACATAAAATACATAGAAGGAAATATAGGCGAAACACTACATGATATGCACATTAAAGACATCTTTACAGACACATCACCCAAAGCAGTGATAGTGAAGGCAAAGATAAACAGCTAGGAATACATCAAATTAAAGAGCTTCTGCACAGCAAAAGAGACAATAACAAAAACAAAGAGAAACCCCACCGACTGGGAGAACATTTTTGCACCCAACACTAACAATAAAGGACTGATCACAAAAATCTGCAAAGAGCTGATGATGAGACTCAACAACAACAAAGAAAATAATCCTGTCAAAAAATGGGCAGAAGAGCTAAAAAGAAGAAACTTCTCTGAAGAGGAAATGCAAATGGCCAACGGGCATATGAAAAAATGTTCAACATCACTTGTAATCAGGGAAATGCAAATCAAAACTACCATGAGATACCATCTTACACCAGTGAGAATGGCACATATTAAAAAAACTAGCAACAACAAATGTTGGTAAGGATGTGGAGAAAAAGGAACTCTCCTGCACTGTTAGTGGGAGTGCAAACTGGTCCAACCACTATGGAGAGCTGTGTGGAGATTTCTGGACCTACTAAACATAGAGCTTCCATATGATGCAGCAATTCCACTCCTAGGTATTTACCCAAGGACACAGAAACACCAATTCCAAAGAGCACCTGCACCCCTATGTTTATAGCAGCACTATTTACAATAGCTAAGCTTTGGAAACAACCCAAATGCCCAAAAATAGATGACTGGATCAAGAAGATGTGGTACATATACACCATGGACTATTACTCAGCATTCAAAAAAGATAAACACATGCAATTTGCAGCAACATGGATGGTGCTGGAAGGGATCATGCTCAGCGAAATAAGCCAGAAAGAAAAAGAAAAATACCAGATGGCCTCACTCATAGCAGGAATCTAGAAAACTTAAATAAGGGACCAGGAAAATGAATAAGTGTAAGAAAGTGAAAATCAAAATCAACAAATAACTATGAACCAGAGTCACTCTATGGGGGGTGGGGGACGGGGAGGGGAGGGATTGGGGGCAAAATAAGGGGGTTGTAATTGTATGAGGAATACAAAAATAAAATTTATTTAAATAATTAAAAAAAAGTATTTTAGGTTTAGCGATAAACTTCTTGGAAAGTATGCCAATTTTATATTAGAAAAGATTTGAGTCAGAGAGTGCATGTCCTAATTCTATCATCCTTTGTTTATTCAAACATCAAATGGCATATAATGATAATTTTGGGGTTTAGGATGAAGATCACATTAATATACATTTACA